TTATTTACTAATATTATGTTCTTATATTATGTACTGATATTTTGTACAGAAACAAAAACTATGTAACAGGACCTCTCTCTCCCCCCCCCCCCCTTCCGCCGAACCCCTGAGATTGACTCACCGAACCCCTGGGGTTCGATCGAACGCAGGTTAAGAACCACACCTCCTAAACTATATGTCTAGATGGGACAAAGTTCTGTTGGTGCAGTGTTGGACAGCAAGGTAATTGGTTAACCAGTACCCCTTCTATATCAACACCTTTCGTCAAATTTACGTGCCTACATAGTCTCTATTCACTTTTTTCCCCCCTGCATTTTGTGCCGCACACCTAACACCTCTGGCATTCCAGTGTGCCGCACACCTAACACCTCTGGCATTCCAGTGTGCCGCTCTGCTCTACATTATTGTATGTAAGTCGGTGTGAATTATTTTAATCCAAGCTAAAAAAAAAAACAAAAACAGTGGAATTAAAGGTTTGAAGCTATTTATCGAAATTTTGATGAAGCTGCTTTAAAAAAAAAAATGAATTTCCTAAATGGTAATCCCGATGAAGCGAATGAACCGAAATGGGCTGATAACAAGTTAGTGGTGTGCGGCTCACTACAATAGTAAGATATCACTTGGCTCTACATTTTAGTTCAATGTCGGTTTCTCTTATCTTAATCCAACTCTCCGTTCTGTGATGGCATCTGAAATGCAGATCACAATTGGGTAGAATTAGAATGTTGTTGTTTTTTTTACGTTTGCAACCGGTACATGTACAGACAACGAGGTCAAGGAAGGATTCCATTATTTCCATTTCCCAGCTGGTTAAAACCCATCCAAACGACATTTAATAAAACCGGAAATCCCCCCCCCCCTCCCATTTTTTTACGTTTGCAACCGGTACATGTAAAGACAACGAGGTCAAGGAAGGATTCCATTATTTCCATTTCCCAGCTGGTTAAAACCCATCCAAACGACATTTAATAAAACCGGAAATCCCCCCCCCCCTCTCTCTCTCTCTCTCCCATATCTCTCCCTCCTATCTTCCTTCTCCCCACTCACTCTCTCTTTCGTTCTCCCTCTCTCTCACTCTCTGTCTCTTCGGTCAGACAGAAATATCGTGGCGTTGTGACCGTAGTTCATCAACCACCCGTATACATTCTAGCACCTCGTTAGACTTAGGGGCAATTTCTTCCCCCAGCCCCGCTTAGTTCACCTCTACGCCCACTGCTGCCATTGAGACCAAAATCATCTCTTAAATCTTTCCAGCGTGAAAGGGGAGGGGGGGGCATATCAAATACTTGATCAAATATAATTGACTGTTGTTGACCTTTACATTGGGATTCGAGATCAACCAGATAAATGGTCATAACATGTTTGTTTAAGCTCAAATCATTCCAGTCTGAAAATAAATCAATAGTGTGGACTTTCAGAAACAAATCAACAATGCCGAATGCCGGAATGCACACGTTGTATTTAATATAAAGGTTGGACTTAAAAACCCGATGCATCAGAGCACTGCTGATCTGTATCAAGAAGCCTGCCGTTTACAATCGGTCACGGAGTATAATGTCCTATAGTTCATGCAAAAATAACCGGTTTCATCCCACCCCCACCCCGACTTGTCCCATATATATTTGCACACGCCTGTCGTTAAGCATGGTAAATACGGTAATCACAATAGTAAGCTACCGGTACCTTAAATCAGTGGTCCCCAACCTTTTTATCGCCAAGGACCGGTCAACGGTTGATAATTTTAACGCGGCCCGCTTGGGGACCATTCTAGTTGCCCTGATATATAACCATCAAATGAATTGAACTGTTCTGCTCCTGTGGTGCTGGTTGGTCAAGATTAGTGCACGTAACAAATCCTCATGCACATCCTTCTGATAAAGATATCTCACATAAACAAGTAGTATCACCTTGTGTCGGATGTCTGACTATTCGACCTAAGCTTCAACGCCACTGCCGCTCGCAGCCTCTCAGCTCCCGGTTAACCTCTTGTTCTTGGAAAGTCGCACAATCCCGAGAGAAATACACCACAGTAAATAAAATGGAAATAATTTTATGTTTCTTTGGCGGCCCGGCACCAATTGATTCACGGACCGGTACTGGTCCGCGGCCTGGGGGTTGGGGACCACTGCCTTAAATCATACGATCTTAGGCGAGCCGTCGCGTGGGGCCTGAATATTTAAGGGGCCCAAAGCATTGAAGAGGACACAAATTATTTTGAAAGCATTTTTAATTGTATTGAAATACTAAATAACAAAACCGAAATGCGACAGCCCTAGGCCCCCCCCCCCCTTTTTGTGTGTTTTCTCCAAAAGTCACGTGACGGCTCTGGCTCTGAGTCATGCACTGTCAAACACTGTGATGCTGTCATGCACTGTCAAACACTGTTAAGCTGTCATGTACTGTCAAACACTGTGATGCTGTCATGCACTGTCAAATACTGTGATGCTGTCATGCACTGTCAAACACCGTGATGCTGTCATGCACTGTCAAACACTGTGATGCTGTCATGCACTGTCAAACATGTGATGCTGTCATGCACTGTCAAACACTGTGATGCTGTCATGCACTGTCAAACATGTGATGCTGTCATGCACTGTCAAACACTGTGATGCTGTCATGCACTGTCAAACACTGATGCTGTCATGAACTGTCAAACATTGTGATGCTGTCATGCACTGTCAAACACTGTGATGCTGTCATGCACTGTCAAACACTGTAATGCTGTCATGCACTGTCAAACACCGTGATGCTGTCCTGACTGAAAGTGAGATCGCAGAAAGCTGGAAAATGACAACATAAATCTAATTTTTTAAGATATCGATGCCACGACAATGTGTGTTGGGTGCATATGGCGGATAAGGTGTGTGTGTGTGTGGGTGGGGGGGGGTTTATCAGACATCTCCGCATATTGCCCGTTATAACCAATTAAGCCTAGTCATTTCCAGTTCCAGCAAGTAATATCAACTTAGTGTGTCTATTTTTAAATTCTTTACATTATCTTCGCTTTTGTTATTGGCTGTCAAAAAAAAAAATCATCGGATGGCTAATTGACCCACCTCCTCTCACCCTCTCGAGCTGAAAAGTGGGCACATAGACTCGTTGCCGACGACAACACATTCTTTTTTATCCAATTTTTAGCCCCACCCCTCAACCCAAACAAATCAATATTTTTCCTGTTTTTCAAGGGCTGGATAAAGGAAATATTCCACCGACGTCACGAAATTAAATGGACGACAACTGCGCTAAATGAGAAGCTTTAAAAAAAATATATCGTAAGTGTGTTTGGTGCGTTACTTTCTTTTTTATTATTTTTTTTTCTGAACTAGTTGGTGAAGTATTTCTGCGGTGTAAAAAGCGAGTTTGTCATTTCAATCTAAACACAGTTAAGGGGCGCGGAAAACAAAAGTGCGTTTGCGAGCTTTATAAAAAAGAAAGTGTGTGTGTTGGGGTGGGGGGGGAAATAATTTGGATTACTAAGTACGCTACTTGTAGGCATGTTTCGTCAAATATTCACCCCCCCCCCTTTTTACACTTACACCCCATTGCTCGATATTACATTTTATAAAGGATTTATACGAAAAAAACTTCTTTTAGGGGTTTACACGAAATAAAGTGGTCGACTTTTTCTTGCAGTCGCAGTGGCGTTGCTAAAGGGTTCTGATGGCCGGGCCTCCCTTCATTAAAGCCTACCACGCAGCATACAGAAAAAAAAACACATTTAAAAAGCTACATAGTAATGAAGAGAAAAAGTGCCC